GGGCAGCAGAACAAGCCAAGATTATGCTGTACTTCCTGCAACTCATTTTCCAAAAGTCCCACTTAGAGCTTTTGCTGGTATTGCGGTGGTTTGTGTATGGTTGCTAGATTTTAGTCTATTGCTGTATCCGAAATCGCCTCCTATACCCTCATTCACTATTCAGCCCACTAATATAGTCCACTGAAAGGAGTGAATGAAACTGCGTCGGAAACCGCCTACTACTCAGTAGGTACTGCATTTGAATTTAAACGTACTACTCGGCTGTTAGAAAAGTACGTTCTATACAGTATGAATGTAAAAAGTATGAATGGAATTCGGACGTACTACATCCGACATTTTGTCATGTTCACTTTACCTACTTGCGTCAATTGCGTCGCTTTACTCCCATTCATGAATTCTCTCGTGGGGCATCATGGGATGCTCGCCAGAATCTCGCCAGAAGTAGTAAGTCATTCGGGTATTTCTCGCATACTGATTTTCGAATTCGATGAATTTATACATACTACTCGGCTTGCATACTGATTTTAGCGTACTATATAGTATGGAAGTATGGGGTTTCGAACGCAGCCTTAGATTTTACCTTTCCTGGTCAGATAGTAATTTAATACTCAGCTTAGCTAGCTGTTTCAGTAATGAAACAATTTTGATTTCTGTCACGTTAAATTAAATCATTAATCATTAATTAAATCATACTTTATTTTGAAACTTTACACTGATAGGAGTGCACTTCAGATGCCATCTTGTGGTCAAACGTAGAAATTCATTCGGCGCGCAAACTGTCAATTTTTTTATGCCCTTTAATTGCTAACTTCAAATGTGTCATTGAGTACATTACAGCATTACATCGAGCAGTTAGAAACTACACTTGTGACATCACAATCGGATTGCATTGCAAACAGACTCACTCCCTTGACTTTGATTGAGGGATTGACTGAGTGCACTTTAAAAAATCCACTATGGTTTTGGAGACCACTAGAAATGGCTGCTCCCTCGCATAGTGCACTATTGGAAATGAGTGAGTGACTCTGAACACTTCGTGCACAGGAGCCATTTTGTTTGTGTTTTGCTGATTGATAAATGGCGTCAGATAGTATCAATTTTACACTTCCTGGTCAGAACTTGTTAGCCATTTAACACTTACCTTAGCGAGCTGTCTATTAGTAATGACACACTTTTGATTTTTGCGTACAAACGTAACTTTAATCGAATGAAAATGACAGGATTGCGCTTCAGATGCCATCTTGTGGTCAGATGCGGAAATTCATTTGGCGCAAAAACTATCAGGCTGCAATTTTGTATGCCCTACAATTGCTAACTTTCCTTTATGTTCTTCACTTGGATGTGTGTCATTGAGTATATTACATAAGTGTCCTCTGAGGAGTATCTGAATGGGTTTAAATGTAATGCCCTAAACCCTTGAGCACTTAGAAACTACACTGTTCTAACGTCACAATCACATTGCATTCTGGGAAATATAGGTGCTGGAGTGGACATATAAAGCTGACTCGCTCTACTGACTTTGATTGAGGGTATGTCCACATAAGCTAACCAGATTCACTTGATGAAGTGAAACGCACTTTAAAATGGCAGCTGGGGTTCCCCAGAGGGAACAAAGAAAGGGATGCTTGCGAGTGTGTATCTAACATGGGTTGTATGCCTACTGTTGCAGTGCATTGTGGTATTGATTGAGTTCACTTTATAACATAAACTGTGGTTTGGGAGACCACTAGAAATGGCTGCTCCCTCACATAGTGCACTTTTGGAAATGAGTGAGTGAATCTGAGCACTTCGTCCACATGAGCCATTTTGTTTGTGTTTTGTTGGTTGATAAATCACCTCAGAAAGTTTAGATTTTACACTTCCTGGTCATAACCTGTTAGCAGGTAAACAATTAGCGTAGCGAGCTGTCTATTAGTAACTACACACTTTTGATTTCGGTCACGCTTACATACGTTACTTTAATTAATGTCATAATGTATTGTGAAACTATACACTGATAAGATTATGCTTTAGATGCCATCTTGTGGTCAGATTTGGAAATTCATTCAGCGGGCAAACTATCAGGCTGCACTCCATTGAAGTTTTTCATGCCCCTCAATGGAAACGAGTGAGTAACTGAGCACTTCAAACACAGGAGATATTTTGTTTGTGTTTAGCTGATAAATCACCTCAGAAAGTTTAAATTTATTATTCCTGGTCAGAACCTGTTAGCAAGAAAACACTTAGCTAAACAAACTGTCTAATAGTAAGAGACACTTTTGATTTCTGGCATGTATACAAACGTTACTTTAGTTACCCTGCTGAAAAATCCTGCTTATACCAGCCTAGGATGGTTGGCTGGTTTTAGCTGGTTGACCAGCCTGGTTTTAGAGGGTTTTTGGCCACTTCCAGGCTGGTTTCCAGCCTAGTTTTAGCCGGACAGGTTGGGAGATGACCAGCTAAAGCCAGCTTGACCAGCCAAGCAAGGCTGGGAGCCCAGCCAAAACCAGCTATGTCCAGCTAAAACCAGGCTGGTCAAGCTGTTTTTAGATGGTTTTAGCTGGTCACTTTCCAGCCTGACCAGCTAAGATGGCTGGAAACCAGCCTGGAAGTGGCCAAAACCCCTCTAAAATCAGACTGGTCAACCAGCTAAAACCAGTCAACCATAATAAGCTGGACTTTTCAGCAGGGTAATTAATATTTTAATTTAAAAAACTGTACAGCAATAGAAAAGTAATGCACTATTTTGAGAGCGTAGTGGGCGAATTCGGATACAGCTTTGTCTTTTAGCTCTGATATGCTGGTGTTCTGCTAAGTTGACTTTTAACGGATAAAGCATTAAAGTTTGGCTAAAAACTAGCATTTTGTCAAATTGTAAAATAAGCCAAAGACATCAATGCATTTACTATACAGACGTGTGTAGTGTTTGGTTTAGTCCAATGTTTATCTGTCCTGTCTAATAAAATGTGATTCATGGACATGAAGATATACCCACATGAATAAATACTAGAGTGGTTTTGAACCATACTACAGTAAAGTGTATACTGTATTTTATTAGTGATTTACAACACTTTGTTAATGAATGCTCAAGCATACTGTCGTATTAACAATAGTGAACTAATACACTGTAATAAATACTGTAGTATACTTCAGTTTTACTATAGTAACATAGTACTATAGTACTATAGTAATGGTGTTATGTAGTATAACATACCCTGTAGTTGTAGAAAACTATTGGGTTATTTGTTTATGTTGTTGCATTACTATAGCAACCGTAGAATTTCCACAACAGATTCATTCAAGTACTTCATAATAGCATGGTTCAAAAGTACTATAGTTTTTTACTGTAAATTACTATAGTATTTTATTCATATGGGTGCTCCTTTAAAAAAAACGTCCATGTTAAAGGGATAGTTTCACTCAAAACTTAAAATTTATTCACTATTTAATCTCCCTCAGGTGGTTATAAACCTTCTTTTGTACACAAAAGAAGATACTTTGAAGAATGATGAAAACTATGACGCAAATGTCCATAGTAGGGAACACAAATACCATGGAAGTCAATGGTTACAGCTTTCCAACCTTTTTCAAAATATCTCCTTTTGTGTTCAACAGAAAATAGTAACTCCTAAAGGGAGATTTTATTTACATTTATTAGTGAGCCATCCCTTAAAATAGAATTAAAATGAAACAGAGAGCATCATTTATATGAGGGAGATGTTCACCAGTATATGAGCCTGTTTTTAAATTGCACAACTAAACCGACCAAGAGCGTGTTTGCTTCCACATTTCATAAGCGAATACTCACACACAATGTTAGTAGCATCTACTGTAAGTCTCAGTGCATGCTTGCTTACTGCCTATTTAATAAATATGAAAATCTGCAATTGTTGTTTTATCTATCCTAACACACAGAACCCGCTGTGTTTGTTTCTGGCAGAGACAAGGGCAGCGCCCTCAACTCCTACAATGGCTATTCTCAAGTAGTTTAGCATAATTGTCATGAACTTGTTCAATAGCTTTTCTCATTCATGCTGTAAACATGCGACTTCACCTCTTGAAGTCTGATTATAAGACACACCACATGACGGATCTGATCCAGAGCCACGTTACATTATAAACAGTGTCAAAGACAGAAAAAATAACAAATAAAATAAAAATAAAAATAACAAGCTCAAGAAACGGATTATTGAGGATATGTGGAATTCCCCTATTCATAATAATAAAAAAATAATAAAATTAAATAAAATAAAATTACAAATAAAATAAAATAAAATAAAAAATAAAACAAAATAAAATTCAATTGAATAAAGTAAAATTAAAAAGACATTACATTATAGATATTGAGAGACAAATTAAAGACAAAGAGATAGAAAAAATGGTGAATTCACCAAAAAAAAAGAAAAGAAACAACTTATAAAAATAAAATAACATGGTCAATAAATGTAAAATCTCTTTACTGAGTACTGAGGATCTGTGGTATTCCACCTATTCATAAAAAATAAAAAATATATAAAAATAAAAAGTAAATTCAAAGTAAAATAATAAAAAATGTAAAAATAAAAAGTAAATAAAAAGTAAAAAAGTGAAAAAGACTTACATTATAGACAGTGTGAAAGAAAGAAAAACTAAAAGAGAAAGAAAAAATGAGGTGAATTCACAAACAAATAAATAAAATAAAAAATAAAATAAATAATGTTCAAGAAATGGAAAATCTCTGAGTGACAATCTGTGGAATTCTCCATATTCATTAAAAATAAAATAAATAAAATAAAAATAAAATTTGTGTCAAAGAAAAAAACTAAAAGAGAGAAAAAAATTATTAAATTCACAAAACAAATGAAATAAATAAATAAAATAAAGTAAACACATGTAAAATCTCTGAGTATTCAGGATCTGTGGAATTCCCCATATTCAGTAAAATCAAACTAAAAAGTAAAGTAAATAAAAAGAAACTATATAAATAAAGCAACATCAACTGTTGTTGTAGGCTGTGGCGTGTGTCTCTTCTGCCGTGGTGTTTTGTCAGTAATCGGCCACAGGAGCCAGATCTCGACTGAGCGTCACTGACACGTTGGTGTAAAGACTCCTCCGGGACACTAGAGGGGAGTAATTCAAGTTATTCAGGCCGTCCAGACTCTGCCTCTCCTTCGACCTACGGAGTAACTTGTATCTGAAAAAAGAAGACAAGAAAAGTGAGACCTAAACGTCAGGCTCAGGTATGTGTATTATGCTTTGAAATCTTTCTCTGCTAAACAACAATCATAGATATTTACATTAGATGTCATCTACGCTATTGCTTTTTATTGGCATAGATATACGGTCAGTGTATCTTTCGGTAATTGGATTTTCATTTTAGAAACAGATATTTAAAAACAAATGATATCAAAAATGATATTAAAAATAAAAAATGAAAATTGAAATTCAATGCGTTCTTTTTGGATTTTAAAATGAAAATAAATAATACGAAAAAAAACATGGTGAAAAACGGAAAAGCTAAATTCAAAAATGATTTGATTTTCATTTTTTATTTCAAATGACAAAAAATAAAATCACCAGAAAACAAAAACTAATAAAGACTTGTTTTTCTATATTCCGAAGCCAGATAGTCCGACTCATTCACGGTGACAAAATGCTGCCGCACACAGGCTAGCCTACTTTTGCCTATTATTTTTTCCATTTAATAATGTTATAAAAGGTATTTTCTTGCGATAACATAATTTCGTTCATACATATTTTCCTCATTGAAGTCAGTTATGTGGAACAACATAATTGACGATAAATGCATTATTTGCATTGCTGAACAGTTTTCTGAAAATAAAGTTTATTGTTAAAATCACTTCCACTTCAGGAGTGACAATAACATTGGACATTCGTTTGGAATCATTATGAAAAAAAAAAAAAAGCTTAAAAGGGCTAAACATTTTGTCCTTAAAATGGTGTTTAAAAAATTAAAAACTGCTTTTATTCTAGTCAAAATAAAACAAATTAGACTTTCTCCAGAAGAAAAAATATCATCAGACATACTGTGAAAATTTCCATGCTCTGTTAAAAATCATTTGGGAAATATTTAAAAAAATGAAATAAATTCAAAGGTGGGCTAATAATTCTGACTTCAACTGTATATACAGGGCATCCACTGCATATTTTTTACGCAATGGATGCCCTTCCAGCTGCAACTCATCTATGGGACACACCCATACACACTCATTCACACTCATACACCAGAGACAATTTAGCCCAACCAATTCACCTATAAGCGCATGTCTTTGGACTGTGGGGGAAACCGGAGCACCCAGAGGAAACCCACGTGACAGCAGGGAGAACATGCAAACTCCACACAGAAACGCCAACTGACCCAGAGGAGGCTCGAACAAGCGACCTTCTGCGTTGCCCTATATATTGCCCTATATATATATATTTATACAACAGTTTGGTCTGGTTCTCGAATCTGATTGGCTGATAGCCGTGATATATTTAAGTAATATCAGCACCCGTACAGCCTCTTTACCCTTTCTGTATTTCTCCGCCCACATACAGCCAGCAAAAAAGCAGACACTACAGATCTTAAGTTTAAAAGACGCACGCTCAACTGTTTAACTGTCAGATTATGATTTGAATCCAACACGGAAGAAAGTAGTTCCTCATGCAAAAGGGTTTTTGAGACTCTCCAGGTTTGATTTTGTTTTTATATACACAATTATGCCATCAAACTGTTGTATAAACGCAATATCACACTCGTAGCAGTGCGATATGGCTGTATATCGGCACTGGTGGAGGCACTAAGGCACTCGGCCTGATGCCAACGCACGCCTCCCACCAATGCCAATTTACAGCCATATCGCACTGCTATGAGTGTGATATTGCTCATATATATATATATATATATATATATATATATATATATATATATATATATATATATATATATATATTTATAATTTTACATACATAAATATAATAAAATGAATATAATTATAGAAAAATAAATAAATAAATAAACATAAATAAATAAAATTTTATTTAAAAAAGTTACATTACAGAGAGTCAAAGAGAGAAAAAAATAAAACAGAAAGAAAATGGGGTGAATTTTAAAAAAACAAAAGTAAAACAAAAATGTATAAAAATAAAATGACAGAGTCAAAAATGGAAAATCGCTGAGTATTGTGGATCTGTGCAATGCCTCCTATTCCTAATTAAATACATTTTAAAAAGCTAAAGAAGACAGTAAAATTCCAAGGGAGGGCAAATAATATCGTCTTTAACTGTGATTTCACAATCAGTTTACATAGAAACACATTGCGTTTGGATTTCATAAGTGTGGGTGCAACCATTTATCCGAGGATGGTTTAGCAACCAATTTTTTCACGAATCAGAGCTTGCTTTAAGCTAACTGTTGAGTTTAGTTCAATAATTTGCATTAGAATGTATGTAGGGATGACAAACCCAGATATTTCCTCAATGAATAATGTCTTATTTTACAATCAGTGGGCAGTTTTTGGTGTGAAATTCCGTTTAGTGCAACACCTTACATAATAGCAGATTACAAAATAGCACAGTTGAACGCCCAGCAGCTGATGAAATCTCATCTACAGTAAGTTTTAATCACGGCTGTTTTAGGCATAGCGTACCTGCCCAGAAACTGCACTTCTCCTCGGTGGTGGTGCGGGATGGACATGTAGCGGCCCAGCTCTCCATGAGGACGGCTCACCTTGTATCCAGCAAATTGAACTCTGGGAAAACACGCATAAGTGTCAACTAGGGATGCAACAATTATAAATTTTGGTGGTACGATTATAGTCTAAGAAATAATCACGGTTATCACGATTATTTGCATTTATTGATTTTAAAACCCCACTAGTTTATAACTAGCTTAAATTAGTTTTAAATTCTGTTTTGTAGTTCGCGTCCAACTAAATATTTGTTGCCGTTCTAATCGTTTAAGTTCATTTAATTGAATATATAAAAATAAGTGGATGTTATCGATGCATTTATTGGATAAAATTGCTCATTCAATGTGTTTGTGGTCATTATCAATGCACCAGCAAAAAAAGACACAGCGGCAAAACTATCGCACCCCTGCTGCTTCAACGGCGCTCACACCTCGTTCTGATGCACTGCTTGTGTGTGCAGTATGAAAGCTCTTATCTGTTAACATGGACACCAAAAAAACACGCTCTGCTCACGGTTGTGTTGTGAAACAGGCTTGAGTCTTTCAGCACTCCCTCCGAAAACACTTGGTTGATCTTGGCTGGCATTTGCCACATGATTGCTCTCATCAGCGACATTATTTGTAACTTTAAGTGGGTTTGCAAATCTGTGTACTTTCCAATGCTTCTTCCTCAAACTTCAGCTGTTTGCAATTCCCGCTGTCACAAAAGTCCCCTGTCATCTCAACCTGAAAATTGTGAGCGTGTTGCGTTGCGTGCGCGTCCCTCCATTGGAAACAACAAACTTGAATAAGCTTGCCTTAGTTAATATCCTCAGTCATAGTTAGTCCAGTGTGCGTGGTTATTAGGCATAACTTTGTTTAGTTGCTGCAGTTTTGTTCCTTGCAGAAACAAGGTGTGGAGAACCCTCTACGATTAATTAAACGTGACGAATTAAATCGTGGTTAATAGTAAAACCGGTTAAATGTTGCATCCCTACGGTCAACTACACTGAAAAAAAAAGTGAAACTACTGTGTCGTTCATTCAAAATACAGTTTTATATTGAATTAATTGAAAAAACAAAACAAAAGGGTTTCTATAGTTTCTGTTTCAATAATTTTTACTTAAAGGGTCACGAAACACCAAAACACATGTTTTGAGCTGTTGACAGTCGTATATGTGTCCCACACTGCTAAAAACACTATTAGGACACCTATATTTCACTAACAAGTGTAAATTGGTTGTTTTTGCGTTATTTCAAGCAAATTCGTACTTCCTGTTTGAAACGAATTTTTGAAGCTGCGTCACGGTCATGACATAATAGCGTGTATTCCAGCGTGCAGACTGGACGTCTGTGCCAGAGTGAGTCTTATTACGTCTTACAGCCTGCTGCATTAATGCATGAGTAAGGCTTGGTTCAAACCAATCAGCGCGCTCTATTGTGCAACTTCATTAATATTCATTATTGTCACTGTGTTTACGCCACAGAGACGCCACATTGTGTTGGCAAAACAAGCGTGAAGTGTTGCTTTTATAGTTTGCTGTAGTTAAGTTTCGTTTTCATTTTCTCTCTGTGAGAGCTCTGAGTCACGTGTGGATTAACAGTGTACGCGACGCTCGACAACAATAACTTACGTGTCTAAGGAGGAACATTGTTTATCTGAGAGCTGTTCTCATCTGCAAACACTGAGATACGGATTCGCTTGTAGTCTCCTCTTAATAAAGACGCGGCTCTAGTTGCTGGTGATTGTCCTGTCTCTACAGATTTGGTAAGTGAGCGACCAGTGCTCTTTGTTTATTCAGTTTGTTTGTATCGAATTAAGTTAACTATTGCACTGAGTGCAAACATGTTAGCACCGCATTTTGTGACCGGAATAACACACGCGGCTTTCTGACACTACCTGCCACGTGCATCTAAGTTTCCGGGAAATGCAGTTTTTTTTTTCTCTCATTCGCCGTGCGGTATCAAACATTGCATGAAAAATACACGCTTAGAGCAGATCCTCGAATCAAATATCGCGTTTGTCGCGAGGGGCATGAATGAATTCCCTGAATGAAAGAGCCAAACTGCAGTTAAAGTCCAACATTTTATAATTTGGCAAATAATTCAACTACAGATGTCCATGTAGGTTAAACACCATCACTTTCTCCTGTGTGTGAGTATTTTGACTGAAACTCGCGCGTGCCCAAATAGACACTCCCACACCATCCCACTTTAGTTCCTCCGACACTCCCCCCTAAACAGGGCTGGACACGCCCACTTTTCTGACTTTTTCCAAAGTAGAGGTGTGAAAACACCCTGCTGAAACGAGGGGGTTTCATGGCCCTTTAAAGCATACCACAAACCCCATAGATAAAATTCTAAACATTATTTTTTCTAAATGTACACTGTAAAAAGCAATTAGTTACTTTACTTAAAAAAATCAATAAACTCATTGTTTTAAAAGCGACAAGTTGACTTTCACTTTACAATGACGCCTCGGAGTTTACAAGCACTTGAGTGTTAGTAAACAGAGAGGAAAATCAGATTTTTTAGGTAAAACGATCTCTCTCTTCTGTTGAGCGCAAGATAAGTTTTTATTTAGGTCACGTATGATTGAGCAACAATTCGTAACTTTTTTATCAATTCGTACAAATTCGTACGATCTAATTTGTACATTTTCGTACGATTTGCTCATCCCCCAATGACGGTTGGGTTAAGGGGTGGGGTTAGGTGCCACGCCTCCTTTTTAAAATCGTACAATTTTGTACGACTGAACTCCGAACGGAATTAAACACTAAACTGGCAAAACGTAAAATACTTACGTTTTCTCGTGAGAACAGGCTGGGCTGAGTCTTAATTCTATTATAGTAGGTATGATAGATGTATGTAGAACACAAATAGTCTAGTCCAGGAAGCATCACTAGCAAATTTGCACTACATTTCCTGCTAGACCACTTTGTAGGGAGTGTCTCTCTCGGTGGATCATAACTTCACAGTGTTGCAAAACTCTACGCATTGCTCTACAGATCCACATACCTGTTCCAAAGGTCATCGTCTTCTCCTCCCCAGCCCCAGAATGCATTGGGAAAGCCATTTATCCTTTTGAATTGCTTGACGGTGAGTCCGCTCACTCCACCAAAAAACTCCTCATATGGAAGCCTGTGTGGTCAGAGAGAGGCCTTCAGCGAGGTCTTGATTCACAACAACACATAAGTCCCTTAATACTTCATAATAAGTGAGCTTAAAGGGATAGTGCACCCCAAAAAATGATTTGCTTAACATCGTGAGGTCTCAAACCTTTATGAGTTTCTTTCTTCTGTTGAACACAAAAGGTGATGCTTTGAAGAATGCTGAAAACAATGTAACCATTGACTTCAATAGTAGGAAAAGCATAATACTATGGAAGTCAATGGTTACAGGTTTTTCAAACATGTTTTTTCGTGTTAAACAGAGAAATGAAACTCAAACAGGTTTGTGACAAGTAAAAAGAGAATAAATGATGATAGAATTGTCAGTTTTGGGTGAACTACCCCTTTAACTACAGAGGACTTACATAAAACAATGAGTACAGTGTATTGATTGTATTTATACCGTTTAGTACAATAATATTGAGCTGGGATGCTGGTCAAGGTATTGTGATGGTTGGTTTAATGGTAGATTTATAGTATAGAAAATTAAATAATAATTCTTAAAGAGATAATCACCCTCAAATGATTATTTTGTCATCATTTACACTTGTTTCAAACCGTTATGGGTTTCTTTCTTCTTTCTTTCTTTCTTTCACAAAACAAGATGTTTTGAATAATGCTGAAAACCTGTAACCACTGACTTCCATAGAATTGCTAAATACTATGGGAGACAATGGTTACAGGTTTTTTAAAACATCTTTTGTGTTTAACAGAGCAATGAAACTTAAGCAGGTACAGGACTAATGTGACAAGTAATAAGAGAGTAAATGATGACAGAATTATCTGTTTTGGGTGAACTGTTTTGGGTTACTACTAGGTACTTACATTTAACAATAAGTACAGTGTATTTATTGTATTCATATCATTTATTATTATTTTTATTATTATTATTACTATTCTTATTATGTCATTTACACTTGTTTCAAACCTTTATGATTTTCTTTCTTCTGTTGAACACAAAATATGTTTTGAAGACTGATAAAAGCCTGTAACCATTGACTTCAATAGTTGGAAAAGCTAAATACTATGGGAGACAATGGTTACAGGTTTTTTAAAACATGCTTGTGTTCAACAGAGCAAAGAAACTTAAGCAGGTACAGGAGTAATGTGACAAGTATAGGAGAGTAAATGATGACAGAATTGTCCGTTATGGGTGAACTGTGCCTTTAACTACTAGGTACTTACATTAAACCATAAGTACAATGTATTTATTGTATCGATAATATTTTGCATAATAATAGTGATGTGAGATGCTGATCAGGTTATGGTCATAGTAGGTTTAAATGTATAGTTCACCCAAAAATGAAAGTTAACCCAGTCTTTAAGGGATTATTACCCTCAAATAATTATTTTGTCATCATTTACACTTGTTTCAAACCTTTATGAGTTTCTTTCCTCTGCCGAACACACAAAAAAGATGTTTTGAAGAATGCTGAAAACCTGTAACCATTGACTTCCATAGTAGGAAAAGAAAAAATTCCATGAGAGTCAATGGTTACAGGTTTTCAACATTTTTCACAACATCTTATTTTGCGTTCAACAGAGAAAAGAAACCCAAACAGGTTTGTGACAAGTAAAAAGAGAATAAATGATGACAGAATTGTCAGATTTGGGTGAATTTTCCCTTTAACTGCTAGATACATTAAACAATAAGTACAGTGTATTTTTTGTATTCATATTGTTTAGCACAATAATATAGAGGTGTGAAGCTGGTCAGGTCATGGTAAATGTAAAGGTATAGTTCACCCAAAGATTAAAATGAACCAATTCTCAAAGGGATGATTACCCCCCCCCAAAAAATACTTTGGCATCATTTACACTTGTTTCAAACCTTTGGGTTTCTTTCTTCTGTTGAACACAAAAAGAGATGTTTTGAAGAATGCTGAAAACCTGTAACTATTGACTTCAATAGTAGGAAAAGCATAATACTGTGGAAGTCAATGTTTTGAGTGAACTATTCAATGTCTAGGTACTTACATTAAACAGTAAGTACAGTGTATTTATTGTATTCATATCATTTATTATTTATAATTATTTTTTGTCATCATTTACACTTTTTTTTTTAAACCTTTATGAGTTTCTTTCTTCTGTTGAACACAAAAGAAGATGTTTTGAAGACTGGTAAATGCCTGTATCCACTGACTTCAATAGTAGGAAAAGCATAATACTGTGGAAGTCAATGTTTTGAGTGAACTATTCAATGTCTAGGTACTTACATTAAACACTAAGTACAGTGTATTTATTGTATTTGTATCATTTATTATTATTTTGTCATCATTTACACTTGTTTTAAACCTTTATGAGTTTCTTTCTTCTGTTGAACACAAAAGAAGATGTTTGAAGACTGGTAAATGCCTGTATCCACTGACTTCAATAGTAGGAAAAGCTAAATACTATGGTTATCAATGGTTACAGGTTTTCAACATTTTTCAAAACATCTTTTGCGTTTAACAGAGAAAAGAAACTCAAACAGGTTTGTGACAAGTAACAGGGGAATAAATGATGACTGAATTTCAGTTTTGGGTGATCTACCCCTTTAACTACTGGGTACTTACATTAAACAGTAAGTACAAAGTTGACTCACCCCCAAGTGTTTTTAAACCAATTGATTTTAATCATTGTACCTAATTAATAATTTATAGGTACAAAGTAGATAAGGCCACTTAATATAAAGTCATAAATCTGCCTGAAAAAAATTGTTTTTCAAAATCATAAACTGTAATACAGACTTACATGTAAGAGTACTTGTTGAGTTTGACCGCAAAATGTCTGGGCATTTCACCACATCCGTAATAGTTGCGGTCATTTTCCAGAATGTGGTCCACATCGTGGAATATCACGCAATCCCAGTTCAAGTCCTTCATGGCCTCTTTGAATCCGACATTAAACAGCATGGCACGGTTGAAGGGTTCATTTCCTGCCTGTGGACACACAAACCAGTTCAACTTCCTGTCCTTCAGTTTTACTCTGACCACTGCCGTTTCACCACTTCAGTTCTGTTCATGACATTGGACACATGCAGTAACATATTCAGAAGATCTGAGCACAAATAATTCCTTTAAGCCGTTCCTGTCACACTGACTGTAAAACCACACCCGTATGTTTTCTGGGGAAATATAGTTTGATTGTGTAAATGTTATGTAAGTGATATACATCTAGGCAGTTGATTTCACAGAATGAAACCAACAGATTTATTAACATCTACGGAAAATAACCACCTACATTATCAGCTTATTACGGAGCTACTTGCCACAGAACTAAGCAATCCAGGCTCATTATGGATACATACCTCTGTATATATATATATATGAGCTTTGAGTCATGATCGAAAGGACAAGATCTCGAATACAAGCGGCCGAAATGAGGGTGCTTCGCAGGGTGGCAGGGCGCCCCCTTATAGATAGGGTGAGGAGCTGTCACCTGTGAGGAGCTTGGAGTAGAGCCGCTGCTCCTCCACATCGAGAGAAGTCAAAAGTGGCTCGGGTATCTGTTTCGGATGCCTCCAGGACGCCTACCTAGGGGGGTGTTCCAGGCATGTCCCACCTGGAGGGACATGTCCCACTAGCGTCTTTGAACTTATCTCTGTCCACACTACGCCACCAAAAACGTATATCACGTGACCATCCGCGCACTCTGGGCATGCGCGTTCTAGTATAAACAGGAAGCATGCATCTCGCTCGGCATTTGGTTATTGTTGATCAACAAACGCCAGTTGAACATTAAACGCGATGGCAAAGAAAGCAAGAGAGGTTTTTTTGTGGACAGACGTCGAGGTCGAGTTGTTACTAAACGAAACAAATGAATAACTACACAACGGTGACTAAAACAGACAATAGTGCAAACAACGCTCCTATTTCTTTGTCCATGTTGTTGTTTATGGTACTGTCTTCCGGTAGCGTTAAAGCCATGTGTTATAGTCATGTGACAGGGGCTTGATGAATAAGGGAAGGATACGCAATGACAAAAAAATGCCCCAATCAGGTAGCGAATCTCAGCAGTCCCGCCTCCTTTTTCAGATGTCTCCGTTTTTCCTCATCCACACTGAGACGGAGCAGCAGCGATTCAGAATGAAAAAGGCCTGTCCAGCGTTTCCAAAACGCTCCGTTTTCGGCGCTCGAGAACTCCGGCGTAGTGTGGACGGATGGCGTAACTGTAGCAAAACTTATGCGTTTTAAAACAAAAACGCATTAGTGTAAACGGGGCCTATGTCTCTCTGCTGGCCTTGGAACGCCTTGGGATCCCCCCGGAGGAGCTGGAGGAAGTGTCTGGGGAGAGGGAAGTCTGGAGTTCTCTCCTTAGACTGCTGCCCCCGCGACCCGGCCCCAGATAAGCGGATGAAATGACATGACCCCTGTATACATTTCTGTAGAGCACGAAATTCATCCAAAGGGGTATGTTTTTTGCAGTTTTTGTTTTCGAGAATCCATCAGAGGCTGCTGTGTACACTTTTTCAGATCTCAAGTTTCTTTCACAAGTGTCATTCGCTCCAGCTGTCTAGCATTACTCCCTTAAGTTAATTTTTTGAAGAATCCCTCCCATCCACCCCATCTACCCTTTTCCTTTGTTAGCAGCGGGATCTTTTGAGAAATACCTGATCTTGCACCCCCTTACATGCTTATCAACCAGGCGGGAGCCCTGGGCTCAATTATCTCAGAGCTCAGGGCAGCTCTCAGGACATCAAGCCAAACCTGCTTAAATTTTCAAGCAATATCCAAGTGTGAACTCTTGAAGTAGCATACTTTGAAATGTCATGACTGACCAATCAAAATCAAGTATTTGTGAATGCCATAAAATAATGCCACACGGGGAGTCAGCTTCAATGCTTCCCATTCACTTTGGATGGGTGACGTCAGGCATTGTGGATCCTTCGCCGCAGCTTCAGAGGCGTTGCTTGCTGCAGAAATTGGGATTTGCTCAACTTTTCAAGTGCTGACAGAAGTTTCAGCCAATCAGTTGGCTGTATGCAAACACACCAGCTCAGACAGTGGCCTATAGCTGACTAATTTCATTGGCTGATGCTGCTATGACGATCGCATCAGACACGCCCTCTGTCAAGCGTTGACGCTGAAGCCCCATGTGAAAGGGTGTTTGAGCTCAGAATAGCATACTATCACACCACATCAACAGTATTGACCTGTTTCTTCAAGAGGGTTCTGGATGCGGACCTGGTGCAATTGCAAGGTGAACTTTTTAATGTGCACATCTAACCCTACCCCTCACAGTGAAGTCACTAGCTCCATTGAGTGCATCATGTCTGACATTGCGAGTCTGAGATATGCAGTCTCAGCTTGCAGATGCAAAGTCTGCATCCAGATACTATTGGTTTATTCTTCTGACCTGTTCAATGACGTAGAAGCCGAACTGCAGTCTCTGTCTCTGCAGCGCCGGGATCAGATGCCGGAAGAGTATTGGAAGGTGCTCATGGCGATTTCGGAAAGGAACCAAAATGGCCACCTAGAGAAAAATGGGACAGCAGAATTACTAAATATCACACTGCACAGGCATATCAATAGCTAACAGGTCATTCACACCAAACGTGTAAACAGCAGTACCTATACTGCACCATCAGTGGGTACCCTATAAAAAAAAAGTATACTTTAAGCTCATTTTATTATGTATACTTAAGTAATTCATTCTTTCATTTTCCTTCAGCTTAGTCCCTTATTTATCAGGGGTCACCACAGTGGATTGAACCACTAACTTATCCAGCATATGTTTTACACAGTGGATGCCCTTCCAGCTGCAACCCAGTACTGGGAAACATTTATACTCATTCACACACACACACACACACACACTCATACACTTTAGCCAATTTAGTTCATTCAATTGACCTATAGCGCATGTCTTTGGATTGGGGGGAAACCAAAGCACTTGAACGAAACCAACGCCAACACAGGGAGAACATGCAAACTCCACACAGAAATCCCAACTGACCCAGCCGGGACTCGAACCAGCCACCTTCTTGCTGTGAGGAGACATTGCTAACCTGAGCCATCGTGCTATCTACTTTAGTAATGTTGAAGTATATATTTAAGTATACTTCATGGGTTTACTAGCATTTATGTACACTGCAAAACTATTCTTGCTGCCTTAATTGTTTTAGTTTAACCAAATGAACTTTTCTAGTCATCTCAACTTACATCAGTCAAACTGACTCAAAATATTTAACAAGTTCAAATTTGCGTAGCTTAAACAATGTAGTTGACACCTGGTTAGGGAATTGAAATAAGGCTATAGCTTAAAGCAGCATAAAAACATGTGTGTAGTCATGACTGCTTGTTATGTCATTTTTACAGTGCACTAGTAGTATACTTATAAGTGCACTACTTACTTAAATATCGCTTTGTACTACAGTGCATCCGGAAAGTATTCATAGCGCTTCACTTTGTCCACATTTTTTTATGCTACGGCCTTATTCCAAAATGGGTTAAATTCATTTATTTCCTCAAAATTCTACACGCAATACTCTATAATGACAATCTTAAAAATATATATATATTTTGAAATTGTTGCAAAATTATTCAAAATAAAAAACCTGAAAAATCACATGTACATCAGTATTCACAGCCTTTGCCGTGAAGCTCTACAATGAGCTCAGGTACATTCTGTTTCCTCTGATCATTCTTGAGATGTTTCAGCAGCTTCATTGGAGTTCACCTGTGGTCAACTCAGTTGATTGGACATGATTTGAAAAGGCATTCACCTGTCTATATAAGGTCCCAGGGTTAACAGTGCATGTCAAAGCACAAACCAAGCATGAAGACAAAGGATTTGTCTGTAGACCTCCGAGACAGGAATGTCTCAAGGCACAAGGCTAATTAATAACCCTATGGTCACTCTGTCTGAGCTCCGGCGTTCTTCTGTGGAGAGAGGAGAACCTTACAGAAGGACAACCATCTGTGCAGCAATCCACCAATCAGGCCTGTATGGTAGAGTGGTCAGACAGAAGCCACTCCATGCCTGGAATTTGCCAAAAAGCATCTGAAGGACTCTCAGACAAAATTCTCATATTGAACTCTTTGGAGTGAATGCCAGGCGTTACATTTGGAGAAAAGCAGGCAGCGCTCAACATCAGGCTAATACCATCCCTACAGTGAATCATGGTGGTGGCAGCATCATGCTGTGGGGATGTTTTTCAGCAGCAGGAACTGGAAGACTAGTCAGGATAGAGAGAAAGATGAACGCAGCAATGTACAGAGACATCCTCAGTATAAACCTGCTTCAGAGTGCTCTTGACCTCAGACTGGGGCGACGGCTCATCTTTCAGCTTCCAATGACCCAAAGCACACCGCCAAAATATCAATGGAGTGGCTTCACAACAACTCAGTGAATGTCCTTGAGTGGCCCAGCCAGAGCCCAGACCTAAATCCTATTGAACATCTCAGGAGAGATCTGAAAATGGCTGTACACCGTCGCCTCCCATCCAACCTGATAGATCTTGAGAGGGACTGCAAAGAGGAATGGGCAAAAACTCCCAAAGACAGATGTGCCAAGCTTGTGTGATCATATTCAGAAAGACTTGAGGCTGTAATCGCTGCCAAAGGGGCATCAACACAGTATTGAGCAAAGGCTGTGAATACTGATGTACATGTGATTTTTCAGCTTTTTTATTTTTAATAAATTTGCAACAATTTCAAAAACTCTTTTCTCACATTGTTATTATGGGGGATTGTGTGTAGAATGTTGAGGAAATAATTCAATTTAATCTATTTTGGAATAAGACTGTATAGGGATGTCAATGTGCAGATGTTCAGGGAAGTGTATTTGTGTATTAAGTGTATGTGTTGTCCCCGAAATCCTTGATGGTTGGTTTTATGTTTCAATTTTTTCCTTTATTAGCTGGGAAAAATGTTTTGAAATGTTTTGTTTTAGCTCTGATGTTGTTTTTCATTCAGAACGATTTTTAGAATTGTGTCGACTGTATATCCTTATCTTTATATTTATCGTGCTTGGTGTAACCCCAATGATAACTGGACTTCTTGCAACAAACTGACTGATTTCTGTAGCTTTTAGACCACAACACTTCTGAAGTAGAACAAACTGCAGGAAATGTGTGTCATTTAAACCAGCAGGAAGCGCGTCACTCACCTTCCAGCGTGGGCGACAGTCATGGGGTTTCCAGTGGCCTCCGACTGACAGACCCGGATCATTTAGCTTCAGCAGTTTCTCCACCTCGTCTAGAGCGATCTCACTCATGTTCACCTTCAGCCGGCCCTCTGCAGACAGAAGACAGATTTCTCACGTTGATTGTAACAGCATTGGTATTACAGGGTGTGAAAACACACTTGCTTGTGGGTTTCTTGACATTTAGTTCTGGATCTTCAACATGTACAACGCTGTCTACTGTTAAAAGCACAACCAGAAGATTCTGATTCAAAAACCATAACCTGCTAGTGGTCAGATCATAAGCGGCCAGCCAAGAAACTTGTGCAGGGTGGGCCATTTATATGGATACACCTTAATAAAATAGGAATGGTTGGTGATATTAATGTCCTGTTTGTGGCACACTAGTATATGTGAGGGGGTAAACTTTTCAAGATGGGTGGTGACCATGGTGGCCATTTTGAAGTCGGCCATCTTGGATGCAACTTTTGTTTTATTCAATAGGAAGAAAGTCATGTGACACATCAAACTCATTGGGAATTTCACAAGAAAAACAATGATGTGTTTGATTTTAACACAACTTTATTCTTTCATGAGTTATTTACAAGTTTCTGACCACTTAGAAAATGTGTTCAGTGTGCTGCCCGTTGTGTTGGATTGTCAATGCAACCCTCTTCCTCACTCTTCACACACTGATAGCAACACCGCAGGAGAAATGCCAGCACAGGCCTACAGTATCCATAGTTTTTTTTATTTCATATGTCATGACTGAATATCGCATATATAACTGCTGAATTTCACATTCCTCCACAGAAGAAGCCTGTAGTGTGAACAGAGCTGAAGCATAAGCACTTACTCATGGAGGGCAGCTTCTCTGGGCAGACCTGCTCAGGCTTATACGTGAAGCCCTCCGGGAGAAAAGGAGTGGGGGACGCGTCTGTCTCGCTGAAGTTAAACTCATAGGTGTAGTCTAGAAAATGACAGAATCAAACATTCCTGTATTAGAACACCACAACATACAACATTTTGTGTGGTTTAAACAAAAATATCGCATGGGAGATACTAAAAGCGATGAGTTTATTCATGAAAAAGTGTATTCCTCTAATATCAGGAGTGTTAAACTTAGATCCTGGAGGGCAGAGATTATTTCCAACCCTTATCTGTAGGTTTCAAACAAGCCTAAAGGACCTAATTAGTTTGATCAGGCGTGTTTAATTAAGATTAAAGCTAAACTGTGCAGAGCTGTGGCCCTTCAGGAACTGAGTTTGACCCCTGTGTCTTACACCTTATTGAAATTTTATTTTGTGTTGCAAAGTATGCTGGAAAGTGAAAGTGGTGAAAAGAGCACTGAATCTTCATACTCAAGTAAAAGTACAGTTGCTTGACAAAAATTCAACCTTATACCCTGCATATATATACTGTAAATTTTCTAAATTTTCTTTTTTTCTTAAACTCTACTATTTTTTATATATATATATTTTATATTAATGTTAAGCACCTTGGGTCTGAGAGTAACGCAATTTCGATTCTCTGTATGTCTTGTACATGTGGCTGATTTGACAATAAAGCTGACTTTGACTTTGACTTGATATTAAACATGTAGCTTACATCAGTGCCGCTTCCTTTTAAGAGTGTTTCTAAGTGTAAATTGTTTAACATTCATGGGAAATACATTCAAAATGTAGGATTAATTTAATGTAAGAACACTGCTGATATACAGTTGAAACCAGAAGTTTACATAAACTCTATTAAAAGGCACTTAACCATTTAAAAAAAGTCAGCTGTTAATGTGACTCAACTTTACATCAGACATTTAAAAAAAAAATGGTTATGTTCCTTTTTTAGAGTGTATGTAAACTTCTACTTTCAACTGTATAAACCCTTAGACTATGACCTTTGACCCCTGATTAATAAGCTATGAGCATTCAGCAGGTGGCGCCACAAACCAAGGTCCTGCAGCACTGAGAGAATACATGAAGTTTGTGTGAAAACGTAACATTCTGTAGTGCGTTTAGAGACTGTTTAAGGCCATTTGGTGATTTCAGTCCTCATACAGTGGACATCTTCCTCATCATCATCATCTAAACACTCTCTTGCTTGTTGGCTGTAATAATTTAGCTTCTTCTAGGACACTTATAATGCTTTAAAAGTTTTAATGCTTCCACTATCCGCACTGCCTACACTGAAAAAAGTGTTGCATGCAAAACTGTTGCAAACAATTTATTTGTGTTGAATTTAAACAAACAAATTAAGTTTAATAATGTTCAACTTAATTTGTTTGTTTAAATTCAGCGCAAATAAATTGTTTACAACAACTTAACGTAAAAAAATTGAGTAAATCCAAGGAATCATCTTTGAATGATTTTTTTCAGTGTATGTGTCATTTAAATGGACAGGAATCACAGAACTGATTATTCTACTTAACAGGTAGTGTTTACAGATAAGCACAAAAATGTACTCCAAAAAAGTACACATTTTTAAAGAGCCCCTTTTATACATTAAAAAAGGTCATGTTTTGAGAGTGGCCATGACACCACGGCTTATCAACAATACTGAAGTAGTCAGAGTGCAGAGTGTATATGTGAGCATACCTGCCAACACTCCTGTTTTTTCCCCGGGAGTCTCACGTATCTCAGACCCATCTCCCGCCACCCTCCCGTTTTGTTTTTATCCTGGAAAACTCTTGTAATTTCAACCACCCCCGATAATGAACTATTTTAAACCTTGACCACCGCACTTGTGTAGGAACAGCTGATGATGGCTATAGCAATGACAAACGGCAGTGGAACACAAGCCCACAAACGCATTTAAATCCGTAAACAAAGCAGCACGCGGTGCGTTTTCAACGTGGCGTTAGACACGATATAAGAAAATAAAGAGTTAACCAGATAGAGTACAAGCGGTTACAAGTAACAAAACTTAATCGCTCTTGCTTACACTTCTGAAATGGAGGAAGAAACAGGTCCATGAACTGTGTACTGATAAAGTTCCGGTCGAGCTCCCACAAATCAATAGTCTTTTTTGATCCGTCCTTTACCAAACAGGCGATGAATACTCATTTGTAAGCATGTAGATTGCTTAAGCTTTCGTCAGAAGAATGACAGTAACAGCACAAGGCTGGGGCTATAATGCTGAGGTATTTTTGTAAAAATAAACCTCAACCACTTACTCTTCACAGTTTAATCTTTGGGTGGAGAAATAACACTAACTTTTCCCCTCACACTTCCAATAATATCCAGCTAATAAGAGCACAGCGTCTTCATGACTTGATTCAGCCGGGATCTGCTAGAGTGTTTGTCTTCCTCTTTTCCTTTGCTACAGTGTTTGTGGGCGGAGTTTAAATTTTTCCTGGTTGTGCGAGCGCAACAATTGGGCGAGGCTTGAGTTTTGTATTGACGTCACACCAAAACGGCTAAAGATTCGTTATCAAGACAATTAATTTGAAGTACTAGGAGTCAACTCTTTTATTAATAAATCAATAGTTTTAAACACTTTGCACTTTCAGATTTAAGCTGGATATTTCACTTTACTTAGAGTTGATACACACTACATGGAGGGTCATTTTCAAAAACCCATAATAGGGGCTCTTTAAAACTACTTTGAAGGTAAGTTGAGTATTTTACACCACCGGCTAAACGGAGCCAGCTTAAATCCTTACTTAATAAATGAGCATGGATTTCCTGAGGATGTGGTAGTGCTGCTGACAGGATGCCTTCAATGGGAAGGAAGGTGAGTGGTGTTTCCTGTTTAACAATGATGGGAATAAATCAGTGTGTCGTACCTGTGCCGTTGATGCTGTAAGCACTTCGGACCACCTGCTCCAGAACCTGAGCCCCCATATTCCTCACATTTTCACGGATCTGGATTCCACGGGCCTGAACCATGAACAGGTACTCATTAACTGATGAGAAAGAGAGAGAGAGGCGGGTTATTAAAAGCAGAATAACTACACACTGTCAAACACTTCTGGGTTACACACAAGTGATTTGTGTTGGGTCAACATGAAGGAAATAAGGGGTGTCCAAACTCGGTCCTGGAGGGCCGGGGTCCTAAAGATTTTAGCTCCAACTTGCCTCAACACACCTGGAAGGAAGGTTCTAGAAAGCGGAGTTGATTAGCTAGCCCAGGTGTGTCTGATTGGGGTTGGAACTAAACTTTGCAGGACACCGGCCCTCCAGGACTGAGTTTGGACATGCCTTAAACTTAAACTTTTACAACTCCATACCTGTCATCCCTCCCGTTTTTTCCCGGGATTTTCCCGCATTTTACATTTCTATCCTGCTATCATCCTATACAGGTATTTTCCTGTATTTCTCTTATATTTTTAATCTTTCTATGAAGGGTGGCAATAAACATTTAAGAGGCGATCCTCCCTAAACACAAACCCATACTGCAGAATTACCAAGGGACACCTCTTGCTGTTTATTGTGAATCTTTTCTGTGCTTTCATTTTATTTAGACATGAAAACACTTTAAATAAAAATAAAAATGGCAGGATTCTCTTCCATTCCATTGACATTTCTGCCATCACCCCTCCTGCAATCCTCAAAACATTCAGTTTATATATTTTCACATCCCAATGTTGACAGACATGCAACTGCAGGCGCACACAACGCTCCGTCAAAATGCAAAGCACAGCAGGTGAACACCAGATGCACACAGGGTACATAACACCCATCCTATGTTAGGATCGATGTTATTGTTTACATCCCTCAAAATGGTCTATAGGTGAATTGAATTCACTAAATTGGCTGTAGTGTATGAGTGCGTGTGCAAATGCAAGGGTGTTTCCCAGTACAGGGCTGGAAGGGCATCCGCGAGTAAAACATATGCTGGAATAGTTGGCGGTTCATTCCACTGTGGCGACCCCTGATAATCAGGGACTAAGCCGAGTGCAAATGAATGCATGAATGGCACGGCAGTCAAATGAATCATTTCACTGTAACCACCTTACCTAAAAATAAAGTGTAACCATATAGTCTTGCTGATAAGTGTAGAAGATAAAGCCTAACAAATCTATTAGCATAGTGGTGTCATTGAGAAAGCGTGTGTTATTGCACAATCAAGAGATTTCACACACAAGAACATCCTTATTTTAAGACATTAGTTTCTAGCATCAGTGACATCAAATGTGATGTGTCATGATACTAGAGTCTGTCCTTCACTAAGGAGAATGTGTGTGTGTGTGTGTGTGTGTGTGTGTGTGTGTGTGTGAGTCCTGTGCAGTCACAAGGCCATGCTGATAGAGCAGAAAACAATGGCTCTTTATGGCAGGCAGGACTGCCCCAAAGATAAACCGCATTTCCTCATGCTCACACTCAAAGTCAGTGAATGCGTGTGTGTTTCTAGAAAAGATTTACAACTATTCCCCTTAAACTACACCCATTTACTGCACATGACCGCAAACCTCTTTTCATGGCAGGGAACACTGGAATAATTATCACGCCGTAAGAGCATGTGGTTAAAATTTATAAAGCTCATCTCCGTTTGAACATCCTTTTTTTTTTTTACACACACACACACTTGCTACAACAGGTTTGTCCACGTTGAGCTCATTTAACCCTTTCAATTTGAGAGATACATTCATTCGTTCATTTTCTTGTCGGATTAGTCCCTTTATTAATCTGGGGTTGCCACAGCGGAATGAACCGCCAACTTATCCAGCAAGTTTTTACGCAGCGGATGCTCTTCCAGCCGCAACCCATCTCTGGGAAACATCCACACACTCTCATAGACTACGGATAATTTAGCCTACCCAATTCACCTGTACCGCATGTCTTTGGACATTGGGGAAAACCGGAGCACCCGGAGGAAACCCATGCGAAAGCAGGGAGAACATGCAAACTCCTCACAGAAACGCCAACTGAGCCGAGGTTCGAACCAGCGACCTTCTTGCTGTGAGGCGACAGCACTACCTACTGCACCACTGCCTCGTCTTTTGAGAGATACACTGAAATAAATGTAGATTTTTCTGCTTGTTCAAACTGCTTATTTAAAATGAGCTGAAACCACACAGTTCTTGAGATTTTTTGAGGACAACTTAATTGCTTTGTGTTCAATTCACTTACATTTGTTAAGTTAACCTAATAGGTTTGTGTTGGGAGAACATAAGTGAATAGTGTGGAGCCCTGCATTTTTTTTACAGTGTATCTCCACAACATACATGAGCTGCCATTAAGTCAGATGCACGCACACACACACACACACACACACATAGAGGAGGAATCTTAGGAATGCTTTTCATAGTCTCCGATTATTATCCAATCATACAGTGTGGGAGTCATTCATTCCTTCTACATGTGTCATAGCAAAATGATACACTGGTGAAAACTATAAAGAATGTTTATTCAGAATCAGTTACAGATAAGCAGTCCTCTAAGTGAACAGCACATTTTAGCTCTGAAGTGGCTGTTTAAAATAGTTTGAATGTTTTTTTATTTTGTTAGAGACATACAGCGTCATCCTGCAACTGTTTTGCAGCATATGAAATGTCCCAAACTGTATTTTTAACTGTCCAAAAGGGGAAAATATTTAGTTTTTAGTCTCCGATAGTCAATAATTCTATGTTAAATATGCATAAAAAAATTCGGGGAAAAGCGTTTTATGTAAATTCGGACCACGAGTCCACATATATGGACAACATTTTTCTCTAAAAGGACATCATATCAATAGATGATACTTCCAATAAGCCCAAATAGCAAAGAGAAATAAAAAAAAATGCATGTAAAAAAGCACCTTGGGTCTTAAGATGTTATCTGTCAACATCGAGATGTGAAAATATAAGATATGCCCACCATAAAATCCCCCCCAAACAAAATAATCCCAAATTACTAAGTATGTTCTTCTGGAGCTGTCATCAAATATTAGCAAACAATAATTTTCTTAGTCCCTTTATTAATCCGGGGTCGCCACAGCGGAATGAACTGCCAACTTATCCAGCGCGTTTTTACACAGCAGATGCCCTTCCAGCCGCAACCCATCTCTGGGAAACACACACACACACACTGATTGCCTACCCAATTCACCTATACTGCATGTCTTTGGACTGTAGGGGAAACCCGCGCGAACGCAGGGAGAGCATGCAAACTCCACACAGAAACGCCAACTGAGCCGAGGTTCAGTTAGCGACAACCAGACCCAATCACCTGCTCTCCAACACCCCCACCCCCTCCCACCCTTCAAAAATTTCCTCCTGCATATGCCCCCTGGATAGTCTCTGCACGGGGCTGAGTGTATGCACATCTTCTGAATTAGGTGGAAAGTTTTTGTGAGAACTTTAAATGTCTGTATAAATGTGAAATCATACACAATTATTACTTCAAGAGTTCACACTTAGCTCATGATTTATACATAGCTTGTTTGGCATGCTGTCCCGGGAGAGAGCCCTGAGCTCAAGGGATCCTCGAGCCCAGGGCTCCCCCCCTTTGCAGGGCGAGTGGAGATTGAGCTCAGGTCTATCTCAAACTCCCCCGCTGCTGAGGCCAAGGCGAACTTCCTGAGAGTAAGACATTATAAAAAAGGTTTAGGCTTGTTTTATCTATAATATAGAGCACATTTGGATGGTGGGAGGAAACCGGGGAACCCGGGGGAAACCCACGCGGACACGGGGAGAACATGCAAACTCCACACAGAAATACCAGATGGCTCAGCGAGGACCCAACACCATTGGTATTCTTGCTGTGAGGCAACAGTGCTAGTCACTGGGCCACCGTGCCGCCCATTCTGGATAAAGGAGGAAGAAGGGGAGGAGGGGGGTTTCTTCCAGACGAAGATAGTTGTAGAAAGGAAATGAGGATATATATATAGTGATTTGGGATCCTTTGATTGAAGGATCATAATTAGTTAATGTGGACCAGCTGGGTCAATCATGAGCACATGCTCCTCTCGAAATTAGTTTAAAACTAAACTTCACTTAATGAGAGCCATTGTTAGTACATTGTTTAAAAAAACGGATGTTTCAAATATTCTAAGACCATTCAAAAAGTAATATAATATCATTTAGTGGTAGGGAACATTATGGGAACATATAGAACCTGAACTTGTAAGATGGAAATTAATTTTTAATAAACCAGTTTGAACCAGTATAAATCTTTGTAAATCTGATTTTCTCACGGCGTATCTCATGTACCTTGACTCAACCTCTTAGCTAAACATTAGTGTAATGTGATAAAATTGCATTCAATATTGTGCGGAGTTATATGACTATTATCAGCACATGCGGTTTATTACATTATGAGGGGTAATTGGTCTGCTTTCATTGATTTCTCCTGACGTGAACCCTGTCGCGTCCTGTCAGCAGAGCGCCAGCACTTCAACCCCCAGACGGCCATAAAGAGCCTTGTGACTGGAGTAAGCCCAGACCACATGATCCTGAAGCTGCCGCTGCTGGCTTCTGATTTAAAGCCTTCAAGAGCCCGCTCAGTCCAGACACGCGTATTAAGACGATCACTGCTGGAAATGTAAATACTCATGGCTATTATGGTTTGGGGTGATAAAAATGTTTAAAATGTTTCCCTGCAACTGATAAATTAGATATAAAATAATGTAAAAATCAAAGTTGCACATATTACAACAGTGTTTAATGTGTGTTTTTAGAGGATTCCTGAAAAAGCTGACTTCACAGTATCATCATTAAAGTGTTCAGTGTCAGCTGATCATTCAGAAATCATTCAGAAAATGATCATTAGATTATAACGGATCATTCATTATAATTGTGGTCACATGACATGAAAACTGCTGCTGCAAAGTAAAAATCTACTTAGGTAAATTAAGTTTGCCTATAGGGGCTTCATTTTATTGCTCTAAGGCGCATTGAATAAAACAGGTGAAAACCAGAACCCATATTTCTTTCACTTGATCCAATCTTAAAATTTACTTTGAAAGCAAGACCAACACAGAGCC